TAGTGCGGGCTGTGAAAACAACAATTGAATTGGTATTTTAAAAAAATAATTTTAAGACATTTTCTAGTCATCTAAAATAATGTTAGTCCTATCAAATGTGTCATAAAACCACATTGCAGATAATTCGTGTTAGACATAATCATGAGGATTAACGTTAGGTACCAGCTTTGTTATGTTTTTAAAATGTGCATATTCATGTTAGCTTAGTGTAAATCACTGCTTTGACATAGGTAAAGTTTACATCCATTCACATCTTTGTCTAATGTATTTGGGATTATGACTTAATTGTATTCCAGTATTTACTATCCTTTCTAGACACTTACAAGCAGTATGAATGGTCTTGGCCTTTTTGACCAGAAAGTCCCAGGATTAATGAAGTTAAGGGAACTAAAGTGTGAATTCAGTCTCTTTTGCACCTAACAATTGGTGTCTCTACTGTACTTGACAGACTGGGATATAAAGTGAATCACACACAGGAAAGTTGAAAAGTTGTTTGGTAGATATTTGGCATTTGCTTTCTATTACAGTTTCGGCTTCCGATGAGTACAGAAACAAACAAGAAAAATCACATTTCTTTTCATACTCTCTTGTGGGAACCTGGTCTGCTGTGTGCTGTCACTCGGCCTGTGGCTGCCATGCAGATCACCTGAGACAAGTTTGCTTAAGGCAAACAGGGACCACTATTTCTCTTTAGGTGACAGGCTTTATGGTCAAAAATTGCCACGTTATAAGAGTCGTGGACTTTGAATGATGGATAATTAAACTTCAAATAAATCTTCTGAAAAAGACACATGTTTTAAGTCCGGTAGATGGATAAGTGATGGATAACTAAGATTACCATGTTGACTACAATAATCAGATTTTACTTGGCGTGACCTCCTTTTCTTATTAACCGTATAGTTGAAAAGGAGGCATCTGGATCTTGTACAGGAGCTTTTTGTTCATTTGGTGCAAACCATTTTTTTTTTCTTTAATTCTAGTAACTATCAAAACTGTCCAGTATGCCCACTATTATTACTAATTTTTACTGCATCATTTTGTTTAATAAATAGTTCAAAATCTAAAGGTTACTACAGGTCACGTACTTACAGTTAACGGCCTGGGGTAAACTTTCAAATGACAGTCTTCTGTAAGTAATTAAATCGGTTTCAGCAGCAGTTCTGTTCTACCCAACGTGCTTACCTTGTTTTGTGTTTTCGGCCCACCTGGCTGACTTGCAGGAGGTGTATGACATGTCGAACGGTTATGAAGACCACATGGGAGGGGATGAGGGGAAGGATGCCAAGACCAACCTGATCGTGAACTACCTCCCTCAGAACATGACGCAGGATGAGCTGCGGAGCCTCTTCAGCAGCATTGGGGAGGTGGAGTCTGCCAAGCTAATAAGAGACAAAGTTGCAGGTATGCAAAGTTTTGAAGCAATAAATCATGTCAGATCAGATCCAAACAAGATCTTGGATTAAATAGAAAAGGATTCCTGTTAGACTTGGCCAAAAATACATGCTGTGGCATTGCCAGACCATGTCGAGGTGGAGATTTGTCTTATAATAATTTTATTTATTTGGACGCTGTTTATTAATGGCCTGTTTTCTGCCCTCAGTGATTCTGTAACTTTTATTTGAGAGATCTCCCAAATTTATTTCCTGCCCACGCTGGGAAGTAGTTTCCTGAACATTTTTGATTATCATAGCCTTGTTTTATTGATTCCAACCAGCCCAGCCCTGTTTAATTGTTTATTCTAGCATGCAATGTTTGAGATTTGTTTTTATTTTTAATATTTATTTGTTTGCAGATTTTTTTGAACTATAAAACGTTTTTTTGTTTTATTTTATTGTTTTCCTTTTTTTTTCTCTAGGCCACAGTTTAGGGTACGGATTTGTTAACTATCTTAACCCTAGTGATGCAGAAAGAGCTATCAGTACACTGAATGGACTAAGGCTACAGTCCAAAACTATCAAGGTAACGTGCAATAAGGTGTTCTACAATTCTCAAAGCAAAGATGTTATGTCATTTAACTTTGCTGTGGCTCTTGTGCTGTCCGCTATCTAGCTAGTACATGTCAGCCCGAGGAAAGAAATACTGCTTTTAACGCTCACTTACTGCCCTATCTTATAAGTCTCTGGTGTTTGACTTTAATTCAACTTATTTTATTTGACACATTCTGTCACAGTAAGTGTATTAAATGTATTTAATTTTCAAAATGATCAATTTGATTTCTTTTTTTATCGCTGTAATGTTCTGTTGCTTCTGATCCTCCCCCCTCACCCATTTTTTATATTTATTATTTTTTACTCAGACCAAAAACTTGATGTTTAAAACAACCAGATTATTTTGTAGTTTTTTAATCCAAAATGTTGCTTTCTGATGGACAGACACAGCAGTGTTCAGCTGAATAAAAAGATGTATAAATATGACCAAACCACTGCTATATTAATCTCTGTTCAATCAAACTACTGTTTAGATGTTTTACTTTGGCAATTCTTTTTCAATTTCTGCATGCATATCAGAGTTTTAATCAGGCGTTTGTTGCTTCCTGTCGCCAGGTGTCATATGCACGGCCCAGCTCGGACACAATAAAGGATGCTAACCTGTACATCAGCGGACTTCCCAAGAACATGACCCAGAAGGACGTGGAGGACATGTTCTCACGTTACGGGCATATCATAAATTCCCGGGTACTTGTTGATCAAGGTACAGGTACGCAAGGTGAATGGCTTCCTTGCTTTTTTTTTTCCAAAAATTTTGTTGAAATTAAATAAACAGTTTGTTTTTACAAAGTGATATCAGTTACTGCTAAGTAGCTAAATGCAGTTCTTGCGGCTTGTATCAGAGTAGGTGGTTACAGCTGCTCTCTCAAACCTAGGTTCATCCCGTGGAGTGGCTTTTATCCGTTTTGACAAGCGTGCAGAAGCGGAGGAGGCTGTCAAAAACCTAAATGGTCAAAAGCCACCAGGAGCCTCGGAGCCAATCACAGTAAAATTTGCAGCCAACCCAAACCAGGTGAAGAACACACAGCTCCTCTCTCAGCTCTACCACAACCAATCCCGACGCTTTGGAGGACCCTTACACCACCAGGCACAGCGGTTTAGGTGAGGGAAGAGCTACATACATATAAACTGAATGGTGCTGATGCTTGAAATGTTACCATTTTTATATTTCATTGATTATCTAAGAAAAAAAAACAATAATCAGTCACGTTATCATTCTTAGTAACAGCAAGTATGCTAAATACTCTCACTTTCAGGTTTTCTCCCATGGGTGTCGATCACATGAGCAGCATGGGAGGCGTCAGTGTCCCTGGAAACTCCACCTCTGGCTGGTGCATCTTTATCTACAACCTAGGCCAGGACGCAGACGAGAGCATCCTGTGGCAGATGTTCGGTCCCTTTGGTGCCGTGACGAATGTCAAGGTGATCCGAGATTTCAACACCAACAAGTGCAAAGGCTTCGGCTTCGTTACCATGACAAACTACGAGGAGGCCGCCATGGCCATCGCCAGCCTGAATGGCTACCGGCTTGGAGACAAGATACTGCAAGTGTCCTTTAAGACCAGCAAGGGCCACAAGTAGAATAAGCCGGACAATCAGGTGTAGAAGAAAGCGGGAAGTAACCCATGTCAGGCTTTTATTGCAGAAAGCTTAAGTTTTCAATGTTAGACACACCAGTTTCAGTTTCATCATATTCAGAGTTAAGTGACATGTTCACTCTTCTGCACCTTTGTAATTGTCTCAAAAGTGTCTAGGGTTTTCTTTTCTTTTCTCCATTGTTGTTTGTTTGGGGTTCAAGGACACTCAATTTTAATTTGGAGTGGATGGAGAGGCTAAAATCCCAAATTACCACCAACATTTTTTTTGTGAAACTTATCTCAAAAACTAAAATCCTGTCTATATGTGTTGCATGTAAAGCTGTAGGAACTGCATAAAGGAGGCAAACCAATGATTCTTAGCAGTGCACTAAAAACAAACAAATCAGAACATTGTAAAAGATCCCAAGTGTGAACTTTTCAATGAATGATTTGGTGTAAAGATAGGGTTAAAGACTGCCCTCCCCCTTTTAATGAGACAGTTTTGCTGCGGAAGAGCAGTGCTCTGTCCTGGTTCCTCATCACAAGTAGAAATAGATGCCTTAAACGATCATACAGTGGACATCCAGTAGACCTTTTAACTACTCACTACTACAAGTCAGTCTAAGACCATAGCACTTTTAGCCAGCCAGCTTTAGGTTGCTCTGTATATCAGTCTTTTTGATGGTAATCTATTACTTCTGTATACCTTCCAGGCAGGTTTAAGAGTTCTTAAAAGAAACAGTGAGCCCTAGAAGGGAAATGTTTGTTTTGTCATCCATATGTAAAGTGTCTTTAATTATAAGTTGTTTGATGCGAGTTGCAAATGAACCCCAGTCAGTGAGTCACAAATTAAAATGGACCAAAGGCAGGGAGAGATACTGATAACCTCGCAAGAGTTTTTCTAAGCAGATGTTCAAGATAAATATTTTGGAGCCCAACTGATACTGGATTCTCGTTGGCCAATGTTTGGTTGTTTTTTTTTTTTTTGTTCACCATAATCTGCAGATACTTAAAACTTCTGTGATTAAGCTGAGATTTACAGGTATCAGCTGAGCTCTAGTTATTAATTTTTTTCTTTTGTTCTTTTGATGAGGTACTAATTATTTACACATAATACTGATTCTTACTGAGAGCGATGCCACTAGCTGTTTGCTGATCTGTTGATTTTTGTTTTGTTTTTTTCCTTTTCCTTTTGAGTTAATTTTCTTTTATTTTCTTTTGATTATATTTCTTTGTAGATTCATACAGTTTTGTTATCGTATTAAGTTACAAACTTGTTTTAACGAGTGCTTGTCTCGAATGGCCTTTGTTATGGATTTCAGTTTAGATTTAATTTTCTTCCTTTCTTTTGTTTTGCTTGTTTCCCTTTGAACATAAACCATTAAATTTTATTTTGTTTTGCTGCAAGTTTTGTTTGGTTTGTTTGTTTGATTTTTTTTTATTTACCCTTTTAGAATTGTTTTTCAGTTTTGTTTTATTTCCCTCGGTAGCAAATTTAGAGCGCTCCTAACACTTATCAAGCAAAAGTTTCTTCACTGGAAGCTTTTACACTTTTGAGATGTTAACAACTTATGGACCAATGTAGGTTGAGAGGATTTGATGCTACTTAAACAAAACCGATATTTTAAGGCAAGTAAGCATCTGTTAGATGTTTTCCACAATGATTTTTGAAACATGACACAAGTTTAACTGCAGAAGAGCAGCAAACTGAATCAGTCTGTTGGCACTGCTGATAGTTTTGCTGCATGTAGTTAATCCGATTTCAGTATCATCAATAGACATCTGGCTGTATGAAGCTGCTTTTAATATCTGGCTGTTAGTTTTGTATTCACACTAAATTGTCCACTTGTCAGTGTAGGTATCTAATGAAACTAGTGATTGTACACAAGCTAGTTTCCATATTTTAACTAGAAGTGTCAAAGATTTAGGCTTTTAAAACCAAACGCACTGCTTTGATCTTTAATGGAGATTACTTTTTACCACATGGCTTTGTTCACCTATTAGTAAAAGACTCACCCAGTTAGAAAAGAACTATGTCCACCTTTGTGTATGTTTCTTTAAAAATGCCGTTAGCATCGGTGCTGCAGTTGTTCTGATTCAAGCTCAGCAGGAGTTAAAAAGCATAACACTTGGAGATGTATTTCTAAGAATATACTTGGCTACAAAACTTGTTCAAAATTTTTCAGATTCTGTTTTAAAACTGTTTTTCTCCCTCCCCAGCAATAATTCAGCTGACACTTGAGAATATAGTTAAAATTGTCTGGCCCATCATAAAGGAATGCTCACATTGTGAGCTTGAAACTTTGGTCTTATTGTGCATCTTGATTTAGTATCTCCATGTTGTTATTATTGTGTCAGGATCCTTAACTTTGTGCAATATTTCATGACTTGCTCAGTGCAGGTAATAGACATTTGTTATAGTCATCGACTGTCATTTTGGGTTTTTTTAAAAATATATAAAATTTTCTATTGACGTTACTGTGTAGTTATGTTGGCAGTCTAGTTTGGTTTGCATGAAAGGTGCAAGTGCGTTTAAGGGGCAGTGAAAATAAACTGCATTCCGCCTTAATTTATAAGAGGAAATAGTGTATTTTACATCAGAGGAGGCGCATTTATTTATTTGACAGTGTTTGTGGTCATACTTGATACTTATTGCAGTGTTTTTAATGGATTGTTTTGTTTTCTTGGTTTTGAACACTTTTGACACTAAGCTGAAGTCCGTTAAATGTCTTCTAACATTTCAATAAAAACATGGTGGCTTTAAAAAAAAAAAAAATTAAAGGAAAATTAAATGTGTATTTAGAAGCTTGTTGTGGATTTGATCTACGTGATTATCTTGAAAAAAGATGAGTAGATGTGCACTTGCACTTTTATGTACATGTTACTGAAGTTAGTGTTGCTGTGATATGACAGTATTGTTGCACATTCTTGGAAATCTGGAGATGTGATTTAATAGTAGACTTGACATGTAGATCGGAGTTGGAACCTTCTGCAACCAGATGGTGGGGACAGTGAGCAGAGTCTATCCTGAAGCTTATTTTTTCTGCAGCTCTTTGTCTCAGTTTTCCTTCAACTTTAAAATTAAAGCCAAAAATTGAGTTTTCTAAAGTAGAATATGAATATACAATTTCAGACACCTATACATATTTAAAACAAAAAAAAAAACAAAAAAAACAGCTTCTTCAAAATGGCTTGGAAAGGAAAGAGAAAATTGAAACCAGTCTGGCTATTCTGTTTTTAGTAACTTTGGAATGCTTAAAAACTCTTTTATTCAGATATAAATAGCTAAGTTGTAGCAAATTGTCATTTCAAGCAGGACCCTTTTTCTGTTTTGAGACTCGCATCCTTTTCAGAAGAACTCGCACTTGTGAGCGATGATGTTTGAAAGCTAGAAGTGAAAACTTTTCTTGGCAGTGAAATATGGTACAGGATGACCAGCATACAAGACAGTGCGTGGGCTCATCCTGAACAACAACCAGCTAGAAGAATGCCAGAAATGGTGGTTTTATTTTACGTTTTTACTCCCCAGGCCTTGGTTTGGATGGATATGGTCCATTTTGAATTCGAATTACCAAAACGTAAAGCATTGTCTTTGTCTTTTTGTTATTTAAATAATAAAAATTAAACCAAAATGCTGAAATGGTGTTTGTGGAAAATTTAAAGCACATCCTTACTGCTTCCACAGGAACTAAGACGGTAAGCAGCTCTGTACAAAGTTTTGGCAAATTGCTGGTCTTGGGGTATTCATGTTGCCAAAGAGGAAAGACCTCAGCAATGATCTTACAATGATCTTAGAAGCAATTGTTGCTGCCCATCAATGTGAGGATGTCTGTCAAAATCCAACTGTTAATGTGTTTAGAGTGTGGGAATAATCCCTGGCCTTTGATTATACTTTTTTATTTTTAAGACCTAAGTTGTGCTCCTGAGCCACTAATTTTTGCTGCCCTGTACCAGTAATTTTTTCAAGTGACTGCATCTTTGTACATAAATCAGTGCACTGTTGGATCATTCAATGCTAATTACCCCAGAGGGAGCTTTCAGTCACAAAACTAACAATTGGCCTTTTTGTAGACAACAGAGGTTTTCTAGAAACTTACTAAATCTTGCCCTAAATATCATGACAGCTTTGATCAATTATTTTGTGCTTGTCAACTTTCTTGCATGAAATATTCTATAAAATCCAACTAAATTTCAAGCTAAGTGTACAGAATTATTTATTTGTCTTAGGAAAAAGGGGGGGAAAGGAAAGTTGAGCACATAAATTCATACATAACAATTTTTTTAAGTCATTACTACTTAAGGTGGTTATGCAAGCTGTTGAATCACTGGGTGCACTTAGTTTTTCACACACTGCTTCTGCATTTTGGTTTAATTTTTGTTTAATAACACTGTAATATGCCATGTTGTTGTTCATCAGAGGTTGTATTCAAAGAATTTTAAGATCTCCTGAAGGACCAGATTATGTAAAAACCTTATAACTGACAGACGCTATACTTTCTTTTTACCTTGCCAAGTATAATCCAGCATGTATCATGAGCACTGCATATACTTAAGCTTAATAGTCTCTGAGGTTAATTATTAAAATAAAAACTTTCACAGCACTGGTATGTAGCAGGTTTTTATTAGAAATGAACACAAAATTAAAAGCAGTGGTATAAAAACACAGATTATGCTATAATTTTCATTTGCTAGGGATATGTTGGTATATTTCTTAATTTTGCTTTAATATTTATGCATAAACACCTTGTCTAACAGAGAGAAAGCCCCTGTTCTGTTGCTCTTTGTCTATTAGCTCCTTATAACATTCAAGTCTTTCAAGGTCTCAGCATTATTGTCAAAAATGAGGCAACGTTAAGGCATTTCAAAACCTAGACTTAAGTTAAAACTGCAGTCATGTTTCATTATGACGGGTCTACTGTGGATTTTAATTGTCCCCCTGGAACTGATAAACACTGATCTCCATCCAATGCATGTCATCGTGACGTATGTTCCTGTCTGCAAGTGCATTCAGACAATGTGGCATTCAAGATTTAATAAAATGCATCTCCTCACATCTCTCTACATGCAAAGCTGAATAGAGACATGCTGTTTTGTACATTGTATCAAGTAGTACAGGTTTCTGCATGGCACAGGCTTTGAGTGAACTTTTAGAGCCTCCGTTAGTGCCTTTGTAGGTGCATCTACGTGCTGTAGAAGGCATCGTGTAAAAGTGTCTCAGACTTGACAGAGGTTGTAGCAGGGCACGGGTTTCTCCAGCACGTTGTCTCCATCCACTTCAAACACATAATCGCAGCGATGTGTGATCAGCGGAGCATCAGACAGTGCCACGCTCTGATTGCCAAAGGAGATTACTGTGTCTCTCTGTAGGGAAGATGACAGCGGTAGGTCTACAGTTAGTTCAAAGGTAGGAGGTGTTGGGGAGGACTGATGAGTTTTCATTTCCCATTGCCAAGTTTGACATTATATTTGATTTGTAGTTCAAAATAATTACAGCATGTACCTTACCTAGGTACTTATGGACCAAGGTTTCTCTACTGAAGGGCAGGTGGTTTAGCACCAGCCGCTTCTCCAGCTCTTTAAAGCTCACTTTCTCTTAATTGGCTGCCCCTCATAAACAAAGGGATGAACAGCAGGTGGGTGGGCCTTCTGTCCTCAGCAGAACTGCTTATATACCAGAGCTTCTAAGACCTTATCATGTGGCCGGCCTCTCCGATTGTCTAACGGGGTCTCCTAACTGTTCCAGGCTCTGATTTTAAAACCAGAGGTGATCATTGTTTATTCCGTCCAAACTGAACCAGATTTCTCAGTCAATCAGATCAGCTGACTCTGTTATTTTTTTCAAACGATTGCTGAAAACTCGATTTTTTTGTTAGCTTAATCTTTCCCCCTTCATTTTTGGCCATAGTTTGCAACTATTTGCATGTATGTGTGTATGTTGGAATGAATGTATGTCAGTATGGCTGATTATGTGTCTGTATGTATGTTTAAACATGTACACGTATCATCAATATGTGGCTTTATTTAAACTGCACTTTGTAACTCTGTGTTTTTAAAAGTGCTATACAAATTGTTGTTGTTATTATTTAAGGATAAATACCTGCAAACTGAGGTTGCAGACTCTTGTTTCTAGTTCATTAACTATATACAGGATTGGATTTTGGGAGAATTTTTGAAATCTTTCATTTATGTGAACTTTGATATATACTAACAGAAACGGTCCTTACCCGTTCTTTATTGGCTACAGCAGCAGAAGCAGCGGTTGCTGATTTATCAAAGTCCTTCTTGCATATATGAGCCATAATCCCAGCAGCTAAGGCATCACCCAGAACATTGATCATTGTCCTGAATCGATCACTGATGAAATGAGAGGGGAAAAGTTCATCACAAATTGACCAATTTAGCTAAATAGTAAGACTTACTTAAAGATAATAACTTTTGTGGGACTTACAGCACCCAGTCAATGGCTACAATCAAGGAGATGTCAGCAGGTGGTAAACCCACAGAGGTCAGGACAATCACCATTGTAACCAAACCCGCTTGAGGTATCCCAGCTGCTCCAATGCTGGCTGCGGTTGCTGTTATACTGATGAGACAGAGGAAAAGATGTTAGGGAAACAGATTTTCAACACAAGGAACTTCTCAGGGGAGCATCTGTTCTCAGTATTTATTCTCACCTGATAGTGACCAGCTGGCCAAAGTCCAAGTCATACTCGTTGACTTGAGCTATGAAGATGGCTGCCACTGCTTCATACAGGGCTGTTCCATCCATGTTGATAGTGGCTCCCACTGGAAGCACAAATCGAGCAATTTGCCGGTCAACTCCACAGTTCTCCAGGAGACACTTCATAGTGATTGGCAGCGTGGCTGAGCTGCAAAGAAAGAAATCAGAGGATATAAAAGGATGTCAGGTTAGTCAGCAGACTTCAATCTGAACCAAGGACTGGTAAAATGTCCTAGTTAGAAATGTAGAAAGATCTACATTGGTAGGATATAACACATAAAAATGTCTGTTTTCTCTTACCTTGAAGATGTAGCCAGTGCAATGACAAGAGCCTGCAGCAGCCCTCTGATGAAGGTGAATGGATTTTTGCGGGTAAAGAAGAAATAAAAGAGAGGCAGCAGGATGAGGCCATGCACGAAGAGACCACACAGGACAGTGATGAAGTACATGCCCAGCTTCTCCCCCAGATGGGCTGGGTCGTGCATGTCCAGGATCTTTCCTGCCACCAGGAACACAATGCCGAAGGGAAAATACCTTCAAAGAAGAGAAGATAGAATATGAATTACATTCATTTTCTTACCACGTTGACTCCTGAAAATATATGAAAGTTTTTTTGTTTCTTTCTGAGTGTGTGTCCCTACAGCAAAGGATTTCCATCCTGACCTTAACCCCAAACAACTCCATTGGGATTATTTGAGACATCAACTGTGATCCAGCATCAGTTTGCTGACCTCACTAATGCTCTTCTGTCTGAATGGGAGTAAATCCCATGTTGTATGCTGCCAGGCATCAGAAGAGTGCCAGCTGTTATAGCAGCAGGCTGAAGCTCATAGACGTGACTTTACATGTTCAAAATCACATATTGTACACATGGATACAATCAGTCTTTGAAGCTCCAAGTTTTTTTCTGACGTACATGCATGGTGCTTCCCACAATTCAAGTGAGTTGCCTGATGGATTGACCTATGAGTTTGTAGCACTAATTTTATATAGAAAGAGTCCTCTTTGCTCCATTCATATAACTGTATTTCAAGTGTCAACTCATTTCCAATGAGAAGCTTTGAGGTCACTTTAGATACACCACTGAGTTTTCCTCGAATCGCCATGAGATCTATTTTTGGATGTAATCTGGCTCTGCTGTGTGAACTTTGTGTAGTCTGTCTTTTATTGGATGCATGTGCGTGATACAGTAGCGTGTATCTGTGTGTGTGACAGAAAAAGAGACAGGGAGACAGAGAGAGTGCAGCCTTACCACATAGCAGCATTGATGATCTTCATGACACACTCGTTGATGCACTGGCACACATTAACGAGTGGTGTGCCACGTTCCCCCATTTTCCCCAGCAGCAGACCTGAGAACAGATAACACAGTCGCACAGTTGTTTGTTAATAGTTGTGGTGCAACCTTCTTATCCCGATAAAGAAAAAAAGACTTTACAAAATGTAACTAACTGCATAGTAGTTAGTTGGTTAGTCATATAAATAAGCTATAAGGCAGAGCAGCTCTTGCTTTGCTGACATTGCTAATAAATCTCAAATTTTTAGCTCCTTTTAGTGAGTCTCCATAATCTGTGAGAGTACAATATTTCAATTAGAAAATACTGTACTTTTTATTCCACTTCAGGTATTCAATATTATGATCAGAACTTCAGTACTTTTCAGACAAAGTTGTAAAAAACATAAATACCACAATGCATTGCTGCAAATTAAAACTAGTCTACATAATCTTTTGCTTGTGCCACATTGCAAAATAAAGAATTTTTTTTAAAACCACACCTTCTTGTGCCCTTTCAGATGTTCAGATCCAATATTATGCACTTAGTGGATATAATTTACTTGTTCAACACATCCTTTTTTATTTCTTTTTTACTGTTGTATTAAACTTCCCATAACTTATTTTCCTTTATAGAGAGAACTATGCAACTGAACTGTGTAAAGTAATTTTACTTTCTCTGCATATATGACATCGGCCAATGCATCGTCACATTTACTTTTGAAACTTTAAGCACATTATGCTGATAATAGAGACATTGCTTCTGATATCAAAAGTCATTAGTTTATCACTTTTGAAATGGAGACATGTGGAGAGATGGCATGAGACAGCCTGCCAGTGCAAAAGTTGTTATGTCCTGTAATATAACCAATGCAATAATGTATCTATGCATTTGCATGGTCAGCATGTAACTTATTTATGATCTTGAATAGGCTGGCTTATTTTAAAATCCCATGGTTATTGTTATATAAAACATTAAAGTTGAATGGTGATTGTCTTACCCATTGTAGCTGAGAAGATGACAATCCCCAATACATTCATGCCTTTGCTTGTACTTGGGACAATCTTATACTTGATGTCAGGTGCAGGGGTGATCTCCAGGAAGACTGGATGACCCAGGCGAGGGTTGTGGTAATCGGGCATGACATATACATAGTTGGCCTGAGACACTTTTGCGTCATTGTTCTGTACAATGGGTACCAAATCTGTCCGGTACTGGCACGAAATGAAAGAACAACCATATAGATCTTTTACTACGGGCATCTTGAAATTTGAATATTTGAAATTTGAATAATATTGCGCAGTTCTCAATCAGTAACTCCATGTTGTCGACTCACCTGCTGAAAAGTTGCTTCAATCAGGTTTGATGGGATCATGTTCCTGCAATGTACAATACAAAGAAAGAAGCCATATGATCACATGTGTAGGATGATATACAGTTCAACTGATGGAAGCTAGATCATTTACTTGTGTGTGACAAATTCTGAAATGATGGCCAGCACTTATTGTTGACCTTAAAAACAATAATGGGTTGTGTTAGACACCAAATAAGCACGGATGAGAAGTGCTTGGATTGCTCGGGTAAAAGAAAAAAGCTTGCCGCAGGTGATTTTCTATAATTCTTTTACAACTGGCCTCATTTATGCATCTACTGGTAAATAGCATGAAAAGCTAGATACTAAATGTGTGTGGTGAGACAGCTTTTTTGAGTTTTTAAATATTTTAATCTTATGTTTGAAGAAAGTATGTACTGTTTGTGATGGTTTTGAGGGTGAAAAACATATTAAAAACAAATTGTTAGTATTTTTTCAGTATAACTATTGGGATGCACAAATACAGTTTTTCACAGTAGAAATCTTCAGAAGCTTAAAATGTAAAAATATGCAATGGGTATGTAAATAATTAGGCTCAAATCATCAATTAAAAAGTGTCATGGTGTTCAGTTATTGAACATTTAGACTTTGTTATAATAACATCAATGATTAACCAGCAATTATACTGTAAACCTTATAAATAAAACACAGTCTCACTTTTGTTTACAGTAGGAAGTTCTTGTAGATGGTGAATCTAACTGCTAGTACTAAAAATGAAATTGCATATCTTGCATCATTTTGTAAAATAGATCAACTTTAAAATGAGCCAGTAGAATATAAAAAGCACCTCGAGTGGCTTGAACAGTACTGCCATTTCTCAATTCTCTTGCTTCTAGAGTATGTTAACTTTTGATACTTCCATTTATTCTTACAATAATAAGTTTTACATAGCGGATATTTATTTGGCCCACTACTTGTACTCATATGTCATCATATACCGTAAATGTCTCCAGTGGCCGAACTCATTAAAGTAGAATAGTTTCCTAGATTTAATGAGTTTTTATAAGAATAGTGAGAAAAACACAGGTTACGTTTTCACACAGTATAACAGCACAGAGAGTTTCACATGTTAAGGTTGATGGAAGCTGAACAGGTAGAGCCAGCATCATCAGACTGTTTTTATTCAACCTGCGTCAGTGACACTGGCACCAAACACATAAGACGACTGAAATGCGCACCTCACCACAGCTCTCCAGTTTAATCTCATTTAAGAATAAGTGGATCTTTGACATGAATGGCCCTTCAATAAGCCTGAGCCTGTACAGGAGTACAGGTTCAATCTAACAAAGTGACTCTGCAGTAGAATCTTCTGAGAAAGTGTCAGCTTAAAGAGTCACAATTAACTCTTTCCCTATTCTTAGTCAAACTGCTGCAAGGGTAGTGACATTGCAACAATGCTACAAGGATTTTAAAGGATGATGTTAAAGCTTATCATTTAAATTCTGTGTTAAAAATCCCTCCACTGTTGCCAGAAACAGTTTAATATCAAATGTAAATTAATGTTTTGATGAATACAGATTTCTGCAAAGCTCTCATGTCTTTCTGGAAATCTAACCTATCTGAGGAGATTTTGTGATTAGGTGACCAAACCTGAATGAGGGTTTTTCTGCATATTAATAAAGTACTGCTTGTGGGAAATATGATTTTCCAAATAATACCAAATTAAGTCGTTTTCTACTTATTTGTGTATTTATTTATTTTAGTTTGAGATTAATTAAGGAATATGAAACAGATATAAGAGAGATCACTTCACCGGGAGCTCTAAAAGCTGATCTTGTGAAATGCTCTATTAAAACATATAT